ACACACGTTCGACAAGATGGATGAACTTTTCTGGTGACGTAGACATCAACTTACGGACTATCGACGATGGTTTTGGTAGAATCGGAGAGCTTGATATGAACCTTATCCACCTTCAAGGGAGAGACCACACGCAACGGAATCTTAAAGAAAACAGGGAGAGATGGGTGGAAAGTTACTACCACTATATTGAAGAAAATGAAAATAACATTTTATCCACTTCTCATGTCTTCTCTGGTTTGATTCAATTCAGACTCCGTTAATTGAAGCAGAGTTTAGTAGTAATGAGTTTGTAGAACCCAGACTAGTGGATATCTACTCGAATCCGCGAAGAGCCTTTAATGCTTTGCAAGGAAAATGGGACATCCTCAAGGACAGCTGAGGAAATGATTGTTCATGCCCAATTGCAGTCGGCTCTACAAACACCTAGTCAAATTGCACAATGGTAGATGCGCAAGTGTACGACCCTTTCACAGAAACGGTAAACAAAACTCTCTTGCAAAAACCATCATAAATTGGGCAGAGGTGTATAGTGGTCACTAAAACGGTTAAAATAAGTACTACGGTCCGATTGCAGGATCTGGATAGGAGCTGTTGAGCTGTTCTCAGAGGCCGAAGCTGCTTTCCACTGTCTCATAACCTTGTAAACCTCTTTTAACAAAAAGCTTGCCTAAACCCACCTTAGATTTCACAACGCCCGCCAGAAGCGCTTTCGAGGTATTCTTTTGTGTCAAAGTAGCGGTTATTTCCAAAGCATAACGACCGCGCGGAATGGGTCCCACTTTTCCACCCAAATCCAACTCAAAGGCATCACTGAAGAAAAGAGTGCATGTTTAAATGCAATTCACAAGAAGGGCCCCCGCAATTTCACTGACGGTAATAGACGTAGAACTCACACCATGCTAGTTCGTTTGAGCTGTCCTAGGCTGGATGGACCAATGGGTACTGTGGAACCAGCTCCATCGACAGAGTAGAGAGCACCCGCTTCCACATTCATATTAGCGTCCAACCGCGCGCCAAAAATGTCGAAAAGGCGCAGATACAGACGACGCGATGATGTCACAAGAATTTCCGAGACGCCGGCCCGTTCACTGGCTGTTGCACCGTACACAACCACTGGGGTCTAGTAAGTAATTAAACATGGAAAAAAAGAGAACAAGATGAACTCGTGAAGTTAGATTCGCAGATAAGTATTCAAG